GGCAGTTGGGAGGTTTTTACGCGAGTTTGGTCAAGAGATAATGGTTTGGACCTGAGAGGGAGCAGTGGAACTGGTGAGAGGTGATTGGGTTTGTCATTTAGCTTGACAGTATAACTGATGTGACTTATTTCTGGTTAAGTTGTGGGGTGGAAAGAGGCCACCAGGATGACCCTAGATGAATGGTAATGACATTAACTGAAATGGGAAAGGTCTTGGGGAAAGTAGGTTTTGAATCTAAAGTCATACATTGTATAATGGTGCTTCAATCAGTGATGGACTACATATATGATGGTAGTCCCATGAGATTATACAACTGTGTTTTTATAGTACCTTTTCTATGCTTAGATATACAAGTACCATTGGGTTCCAATTGCCTACAGTATTCAGGCAGTAACACGCCGTACAGGTTTGTAGCCTAGGAGCGATAGACCATACCATCAGCCTGGGTGTGACATAGGCTGTAACATTTAGGTTTGTGGAAGTACACTCTATGATGCTCACACAACATCAAAATCATCTCAGGACACATTTCTCAGAATGAATCCCTGACATTAAAAGACACATGACTGTATTAAGTTTGAAACACTCTAAATGCAGACTTTGAGTAGGCAGTTGATATTCTAATCTGGAGCTCATGAAGGAAGTCCAGACAAGATATTTGGGAATTAGTGGTATATATTTATCTAATGCTATAGGAAGTGATGAGCTCTCCAAGGGACAGCACAGCTTGAGAAGAAGGCTAGAAACCAAGCCCTGCCACGTCATTCTTAAAAACCCTCATTGTTTCCCCAAACCTCAAAACAAGCCCCCAGTTCCTTGAGACAGCAACCCAGACCCTCTACATTCTTGCCCCAGATGACCTTTCCAGTCTCATGTCCCACTGTGCTTTTCTAGAGACTGCCTACTTTAGCTATTTGGCTTCCTCTAAACACTTTGTCTTTGTGCCTTTGTTCCTGCCTTCTGCCAACTCCAACTTTCCCTGTTTGATAAAATCCTTCCCATCTGTAAAATCAGCTCAAGTTCACCACAGCCAATTCCTCCACATCTGCCTACTCAGAAGCAAGGACATCTCACTTTGAGAACCATGTCACTCAACTGCAAAGCAAGTGAAAAATGACTTACCCAATGGGGCTGGAGGTAGACAGTCTGTGGCTGGTGCAGTGAATATAGATGTTGTCAATGTCCTGGCTCCTTACTCCTCTGCCACCCTACCACATGGTTTCCATCCTCATTGCTGCCTCAAATGTGAGATTATTGTCCCTCCTCCAACCTCCCACTCATCATGGGGAAAATCAAGAGGGAGGAAGCCACACGATGTGGGGATGGCACCTATTTAAGGAAAGTAAGGCTCCTGGAAATTCCAAGACTGCTACCCATGTCTCATTGGCCGAAACTGTGCCGCATGGCCCTTATAACCACAAGGGAGGCATGAGGTGTAATGTTTTGGTTGGGCGCATTGCCAGCCTGAACAATTTCATCCACTGGTAAGAGATATCAGGTGAGATACCAGCATGGCACACCAGAGCCCAGAATGCTCTTCCTTTGTATGGACTCTGATGTTGACAACATGTTTTGCAGGATAGTTGTGTGTTTTTAATTTTTAAAATTTTTTTGAGTTGGAGTCTCACCTGTTTCCCAGACTAGAGTGCACTGGCATGCTCCCGACCACCACAGCCTCTACCTGCTGGGCTCCGATCCTTCCACCTCAGCCTTCCAAGTAGCTGGAACTACAGGCATGCGCTACCACACCCAGCTAATTTTTGATTTATTGTTGAGTTGAGGTCTCGCTAAGTTGCCCAGGTGGGTCTTGAACCCGTGGGCTCAGGCAATCCACTCGCCTTGGCTTCCCAAAGTTCCCGGCCATGTGTTTTTTTCACTGGGATTGAACCCTTTACTGATAGTTCATCCAATTTTTCTATCCTAGGACTTCCTCACCCTTACCTAGCACATGAGAAACATTTATTAAAAGGCTTTCCCCCCCCCTATTGCTGAACAAATGACTATGGATTGCTCTAGTCCTTGCTCTGTGAATAAAGGCTGGCCTCTGTGGAAGGCAGTTTAGAGAAGCTCACTGAGTAGCTTACTAAGGAAAATGGACCAAGAATCCAGTCTGTGTTTTATTCAAAAGACCCCCCTTTCCCTCTCAACAATATCCTCATATCTGGCAAACAAATCATCCCATTGTGCTCATTTTATGATGGAATCTCAGCAATGTAAACAATTATTCACACATGTGCTGGAAACACACTAAGACAGAATGAGGGAGGCCAACCCAGTGCTTCACATGCCCTAGGTGTTCACCAAAGTAGAGAGCACCATCCGTAGGTGGGGATAAAGACTGAAACCCAGAAACACCTACTTTTATTTCATTGTTATTGTGATTCTCTCATGATATACCCTAATGTCCACATGAGAAGCAACAGACTTCAACCAAGATTCTTCAGGAGTAGCAGCAGGGCAAAAATCAGACTAAAGTTGAGGTTGTTTCCAATGGACAGATCAACTCTTAGAAAAAATAAAGTAGAAATAATTTAGTGCTGGGTTTCCGTCTATGATTGTTTGGAACTTAACCTCTCAGGGTACAAGGAGAGTCAGGTCTACTCTCGCGGAGCTTTTGAATAAGAATTATAGTAGCAAAGCTGGAAGCACCGCATGTTTCAGGGATGAGTCTAGATTCTCGTCTCCCTATATTTCATTTATGCCTATGAAAGGTTCTCACATCTCTCTCCACATGCCACGTCACCAAAATGCCAGTCAATACATTACTCGTATTTTATTCAAAATTCCATAGGACATTACTTGGAGATGCTTTTCCATGTGTCCTTGTAGATGACACCATCCAGTGTCTGTGATGTTCTATCTCCTTTCTGTTGAATTCTCACCTCCCACAGGGACCTTCTGGTCTTACTGCTGTTCTGCTTATATCCAGCAAAGCACTCAACAATTCTGTACAAGAAGACCTATCTCATTATTAAAAAAAAAAAATGCATGTACAAACAAAAAGAAATGTTTCAGATATTTACAATTGTTTTATTCAAAGCAAATTTAAATCCTAATTTTAAAAAGGAGATTTTAAAAAGTAGCTTTATAATTAGTTTTGATGCTTATCTTACCTTTAAATAAATTATATATTAAGCTAAAGAGTTCTGATATCCATGTAAAATTTAATCTTTTTTTCGGTAGCTATGAGAAGATTTCATATTCAAAAGCCAACACTACTTTTGAGAAGAAATGAACCTTTTGCCCAACAGTAGACAATTGCTCCAAATGTCAGGTCTTGATTCCAGAGGTATGAAAATAAGTGTTTTGTTTTCTCCAGAGAAGGAAAGAAATCTTCATCTGTTAGGCTTATTATTGCCATAAAGACATGTCTAAAATGGGTATCTAAAGTTGCATAAACCTCACGATGAATTCACTTTGTGCAGTCCAACTTTTGGATAATATTTTCATACCAAAAAAATATGGCAGTTGAGAGCTGCACTGGTGTAGACCAAGAATCTCAGTGCTGTCATCCAAGGTCCTTCTAATGAAGAAGACAAGACTCTGGCTTATTTAACTAACAACTAAAGTCATCTACGTACACAGAAACTGGGAGGGAGAAGGGATGGGGGGGGGACACAAGATTGTTACATTAAAATAGAGACTTTACATACTTTTCTCCCATGTCTAAAAGTGTTGACATGCTGATCGGAGAAGATTAGCAGGTTATTAGTAACTCATTGATTTATAAACACATATAAAAACACACAAAACAAATGATGCAAAAAAATCTTTTTAATCTAAAAACTCATTTCCCAGGGCTAATTAATAGCCAAGCCCTACCAATTTGTATCAGTTTATTTGGACTAACAAGAGCTATTCAGAGTTTTCTTCCAAGTCAGATAATATATAATAGATTTTGATAAACCTTTCTAAATTAGGACACGATCCTGTAGGCAGTTCAAGGAAAAAAAATAGCCATAACTTTTTCTTTGGTGTAACCAAAATGATATCCAAAAGTTAGCAAACGCTGACATTTCAAGTGATAGGAAATTGCCAAATGGAAGTTTAAACTGGTTAAAAAACGGTTGTCAAAGGAAAAGCTCCACCCACAGTTCTGTAGTGCAAGTTTTCAAATTTAATTCTGAAAAATAATTTTATTTAGTAGGCAGGAAACAAATTCCAGCAGTGTATCACTTACACCTCTCCCCTCTCTCTTCTCCCCGCACCCCGTATGTCCACACCACCACGTCAGTTCTCAAAAGTCTCAGCTGCTACTCAAGGAGGAAATTCACTTAAAAATTACCCACACGTCTAAAAATCTGGCTACGAGTTGTGTGTATGTGGCTGCATAGCAGCAGACACCAAGTTACAGCGTGGCCACTTCCACAAGTTTGTCATTTTTACAAAAAAGAAACAAAGTTTATTTCCCCCAGAAAGAAGTACCTGAACCCATTAGTCGTTTAGCCCTTTCCCAGCCTCTCTGTGCTCCCAGGACACACCTCACCTCAGCAGCACACATGCTTGTTCTGTGCACTAAGAACCAGCAAATCTACGACCTCTTTCTTAGAAGTAACATCTTCTCCCTTCTTATGGAACTCACTAATTTCCATAAGCATGATGCTTTGAAAGCAGTTACCACCTAGTCCAGGAGACTCCATTAGTCTACTGAGCTTAACTCTGGCTTTCTTTCTCCTATTTCTATACAAGCTGTTTGTGTGTGTTTTAAAAATAAAAAGTGTTCAAAATGCAAACACACACTCCCACACTCACACCCAGCATTTAGCATTAAAAAAAAAAAAAAAGAAAGAAAGAAAGAAAGAAAGAAAGAAAAATCTTCCCCAGGAAGCACTTTCAGAAGTTTAAGCTTCTACTTGCTTTTAAGCCACAGGGCAAGTGCCAAGTGAGTCCAATAAACCCGCCACTCACACGGCAGGGCGCGCCTCGGGGGACCCACAGCACACACGCGGAGTGGGTCCCTGGCAAGTCAGGGAAAGGCACCCAGGGGCTTCCTAGAGCAGGCACTGCTCAACCCTCCCCCGCACATCACCCGGGGGAGCCACGTGCGTGTCCCTAACTCTCCTCCCTCTGAGAACCCCCATACTGTTGTGATGCTCCGCCCTCTGCGCCGGCTGTCCCATCGGCGGGGCCAGGGGCTGGTGGCCGCAAGGAGGGGGCCGGCTCCTCGCCACAGAGCAGGCTGCCCTCGTCCATCTCATCCCCCGCCAGGCCGTCCAGTGAACATCCCTGTGCCGCGCCCAGAGCCCCGCAAGCTCTGCTGTCCACGGGCTCCACGGCCTCCGCTTCCCCCTCCGAGATGACCGTCATGGGGCTGCTCTGGATCCGGTTCCGCATGCTGTACCTGCTGCTGGCTGCCGAGGGCGGCGTTCGGCTGCGGCCGTACCTCGGGCCGGAAAAGGACAGACTGCGAGGCATCAGGCCTTCGTTCTTGGCCCACTCCTCCTGGGCCCTTCGGTTCTTGCTTGGGGAGCAGCTTGAGGGGCTCTCGGGGGCGTCTGGCGAAGGCTCCGACCTTGACCTCTGGAATCTCGGATCGGTGTTCTTGAGCATCTCTGCCGCCGACATGCGGGCGCTGGTGTCTGAACGGCTCCCCTTTTTCAGCAGCAGAGCTTTGAAGTTGTCACTGCTGGTGCTGCTCTTTCGGACGCTTCTCTGAATCGATCCCACTTGCTTTGGAGAGGCCAGACTTGGGGCAGCGCCGGTGGGTGTCACTGGTGGGGAGGGAGAATGGTTTCGGGAGTGGTCGTCATCTGAATCTTTACGGCCAAGGACTTTCCTCTTGGATCTGAGATTTGAAAACATTAAGTAAAGGTTAACTCTCATTGGACCATAATTACCCTTTTCCCCTTAGCCCATCTTCAGATCACCATCTACTGTAGACTTACTTTAAAAAAACAAACATTTTAACTATGGAAAACTTCAAACACTCACGCATAAAAGAATAGCTCATTTTATGAACATATGCGCCTATAACTCACCTATGATAATTAACTATGCCTTCTCTTCTTTTGTTTCCACTCTCACTGGATTATTCCAAACAAACTGTAGATATTGTATTAGTTTAGTTCCAATAGGACCAAAGTTGTTAATGATTGCCAGTTTTCATTTAACTCTCCTAGAGGGGCTGATTCAGAGTGAATTTTATCTGCTAACCATCCTTTCTTTCCACTCTTCATTTTCTTGTTTGGTGCTAGTGCCTGAACAGGCCAAACAGATAGCCACAACCCAGGATATCCCCTGTACCAAGACATGCCCCAGCCTACAACTCCACAACCTTACATTCTCAGTCATTCCAAAGTCTGCCAAAAAACCAGTCTCCCTCAGCTTTTACAGGTCCAAATGCCAGCATCTAGAAGTCCAGTTTTCCAGAAAACAGGAGTGAACCTTCTGTGCCAGATCCTGGTTCCTGACTGACTTCAGAGAACCATTCACTAAAAAAATGTGGGGAACGGGGTGGAGTGGGGAAGAAGAGAGACCCATCATGGAAAGTCAAATGCTTCCTGTAGGTGTTTGTTGTCCCCAGTCTCTCAAAACTTCACTGTTCACTGCATTTTCTACTGCTAGGGAAACAGAGATAATAAAGTCAATGAACCAAGCGGCGCCTTGCTGGTCTCTTAACAACAACTCAGTAAGCTAAGCACAGGAGGACTTGCTTTAAGAAAATTAGACACAGTTAACAGAACAAAGAGGTGGGTATATCTCTTTTCCTGCTATAAAATTCTAGACTACGCAACATGAAAAGGCTAGGAGTATGATAGCTGTATACACAGATTGAGAATTGAAACCGAGCACTCTCCAATTCTGGCTGTGTAGCCTGGGACAAGTTAACCATCCATGCTGCATCTTAGCATGCGTAAAATGGCAATGATAGTACCACCTCACAGGTTTGCGAAGGTTAAATGAGATAAAGAACTTTTGGAGTTACACAACTCCCATTGCTAAAGCTTTCCTGTTCCGCCACATTGGGCAAGTTAAAATTTCTAATCATGTTTCCTATCCGAAAAAGGAGAATAACAGTGTATAGGTCATAGTTTGTCAATAAAGTTGAATGCAGTAACGGCCACAAAGCGTCAGGCATACAGCAGGGGCTTATCAAACCTCTGTCATATAGGGAACAGAATTCTTCCTTCCTGCCACTAGGGCAGGCTTTTGTTTCTCCATGGGCTATGCAGCAAAGCAGAGGGCAAGATAGGCCCATGTTGGCTGCCCCAGGCTTGGTGTTTCCAAAGTCATTTCCATGCTTCTGGTCAAAAATGAAGCCACCAAAGTGGAGGACAGGAAGTGGCACGGACCAATACAGAGTCTAAAGGGTGGCCAGAGATGACAGAACACCAGCCCCTTTGGGACTACAGAATGTGATCTAGGATACAGATTTCATGGTCCTACTCAGTGGTCCACAAAAGCAATGCCCTGGTATAAGTTAGTAACCGATGACAAAACCATAGAAATAACATGTCAGAACCGTAGAGCTGGAAAAGACTTTAGAAATGGTCTGGTCCAGTCACTTTGGGTTTCAGAGAAGAGAACTGAGGTCTAGAAAGTGAAGTCATACAACTCGTTCACATGACAATGAGGACCTGAAGGGATATTTTTCCTCTTGGAGCATATGGCAGTGCCGCTGACATTGCTTGCTCTTGCATAGCAGCCCTGTTCATCACATTCTCGTAGGTGTTGGCTTGTTGTGCAATTTTTTGTTTGGTTTTTAAATGGTGAGGGTGTGCGCAACTAAACTTGACTAAAGCTTTGGCCTTTACTTATAGATTTGTTTGTTTATTGAGTCAAGATCTCACTCTGTCGCCTAGGCTGGAGTGCAGTGGCATGCATGAGCACAACAATCACGGCTCATGGCAGTCTCAACCTCCTGGGCTCAGGCGATCCTTTCACCTCAACATCCCAAGTAGCTCGGACTATATGCATGTGCCACCACACCCAGCTAATTTTTTTTCTTTTTTTGTAGAGACAAGGTTTTCGCTATGTTGCCCAGGCTTGTCTCGAACTCCTGGGCTCAAGCAATCCACCCACCTTGGCCTCCCAAAGTGCTGGGATTATAGGCATGAGCCACCGTGCCTGACTTTATGTGTAGATTTAGAATTAAGAAAGAAGATGAGATTGTACAAAAGCATTGTTGTTTCTCAAAAGCAGTTGCACCCTAAAATGAAAATTAAATCTACCCATACAAATTCTCTGCATATATACATATATATATACACACACACACACATATATTCATATCATGTATATGTATTTTTAAAGAAGACGGCTATAAAAAGTACTTAAGCAGTTAATGCTAGCTTAAAAACTAATTACTTCAATAAATATAAAAACTTCACACCTCAACTGGTGTTCTACATTTTCCATCTGGCTTTAAATCTGAAGTGAATTAATTTGCATTATAAAATTTGAAATCTGTGTTTCAACTTAAATATTCTTTATTTTAAGTCATGAGCTTAGGTGCTAAAGGACATAAAAATAAAGCTCTAAAAAACACATGCATTAGATGGATTTTTACTATGTCTGCTAATTTATTCTCCACGCTACAACAGAAATGTGCATGTGTCCTTGTGTTCTCTGCAATTCATTCCTAAAGTCTACTTGCATTTACTTTTCTCATGAATATACAGAATAATACAGACGGACCAACTTAGACATCTGCAGTACATGTAACTCCTTAGTAGGAGAAACCACACATTTTTCAGTGCCTTAAGAAGGCAGCCAAAGTAAAATCTACAAAAGACCTTTGGCCCATTTTTAGGAAAAGTATGCAATAAACTGAACCCACAACAGTTGGGTTTCCTCACTGGAACTAAGAATTTAGTACACAGAGCAACAAGGCAATGCAAACCTTCTATGCAGATTGCTACTATAAATAAATAAATACACACACACACATACACACACACGCCTGCATATTTAGCAACCCAGTGCATATTTAGCAACCCAATGAATTCCATAGTAAATGAAATACTTTGAGTCTTGGAAGGAATATATATATATATATACACACACACACACACACACATATACCTGCCTGTATATTTAGCAACACAATGCATGAAATACTTTGAGTTTTGTAAGAATCTTCTAACAGTTAAATTCCAATTGGTTTCATTTAATTCAGAAAATATTTATTGAGTGCTTATTATGTGCCTGCATGGTTAAAGTTAGAAACATCTGTGTAAACTTATAGAAATGCTGCTAAAGTTGGTTTGAAAGGATGCATCATTTTTCACTTCCCTGTTTTGAGAAATAATTGGATAACTAGCTATCTTTTTTATTTCTAATGAGATCAAAGAAACCAGTCAGACAATGGTAAAGGGGGGTAGTCTTTAGGGCCTATTATACTGATACTAAAG